CTTGCGCGCCCCCGGCCTCCGCCCGGCGGGGTGGCCATGGCGTTCACCTTTGCCGCGTTTGCTACATGCTCACCCTGGTGCTGTGCGCCTCCCTCATCTTCTTTGTCATCTGGCACATCATAGCCTTTGATGAGCTGCGGACCGACTTTAAGAACCCCATCGACCAGGGGAACCCAGCGCGGGCACGCGAGCGTTTAAAAAACATCGAACGCATCTGCTGCCTCCTGAGGAAGCTGGTGGTCCCAGAGTACTCCATCCACGGCCTCTTCTGTCTGATGTTTCTGTGTGCAGCGGAGTGGGTGACCCTGGGCCTCAACATCCCCCTCCTCTTCTACCAGCTCTGGAGGTACTTCCACCGCCCCGCGGATGGCTCTGAGGTCATGTATGATGCAGTCTCCAACATGAATGCCGACATCCTCAACTACTGCCAGAAGGAGTCCTGGTGCAAACTCGCCTTGTACCTGTTCTCCTTCTTCTATTATCTGTACAGTATGGTTTATACGCTGGTGAGTTTCTAAGGGGAAAGCCGGCCAGGGAGCGAGCCCAGAACGGACCGGACGCCTTGCACCCCCAGCCCTGCTCCTCGGCCGCAGTGGCCTCAGCCCTGAGGAGGGAAGGGGCACTGGTGCCCCCGGCCTCCTCTCCACCCCCCAAACTGCTGCTGCGGGGACCTCCCGCCTTCAGAGCCCACTCCCCTTGGACTAGGGCTGGGCAGAGCTCTAAATAGGGGCAGGAGTTCCTCTGCCAGCCTGTGGGGCTGAACCGGAAGGGGCGGAACCTCTGGCCTTGTCCAACTTTGGGAAGGACTTGGGGCCCTGCCAAGGGGCAGGGCTTGACCCTGGAAATTCTGGGCCACCCCCCTCAATCCCACCCTGAGGCTCCCCCTGCAGGTGGGGGGGTACCCACACCCAGAATGAGCAGGCTCAGCAGGGGCAGTCCCACTCCTAGCCTGCCCTCTCCCCTTCCCCAGGCTCTCTCTTCAGACTCCTTTCTGTCCCCATTTGCCCCAACCCAGCCCACCTGTCTCTTGGACCTATTTTCTATGTTGCCTGGAGGAGTCCGGCACCCCCTCCCCGGCCATTTGTGACAAGATATGAATAAACTACTGCAAACAAAAAATAAAATAAATAAATAAATTTTAGCCCCCAAATTAATTTTAAATTCTGAGCCTTTTTTACTTTGAAGCTGCTCTTGTCTCTTTTTCAAGCATGTGCATGCACACTTGTGCATATGTGCACACACACATCCTCCTTCCTTTTCATATCAATGGTTGGATGGACAAGGTCTATGGCCAAACTCAGCCATACTCTACAGTTACCAAGCGCGACAGAGCTGAAAGGAAAACATCTGATCCCAGGCTGCCACGTGCCTTTATAGCATAGAATTTCCTTTGATCTCCAACTGGAGTTCTCTATCAAGTCTCGCAGATCAATTAGTGAATAGACCTTTCCCACTAGTCTTCCTAGTAGCTGGCTACCTAGGATAGAAATCAGTTGTATGTAACAATCCTTCTCTTCCCCTTTCACTTTGAGCAAATCCTTTTTTCTCCCTTGAAATAACATAGTTATTAAACCACTTCAGTCACTTCTGTGGTTAATGATTCCCTCCTTTCTTTGGTTCCGCTCTCATGCTGAAACCTGTTGGCGGGCTTTCACCACACCACTCCATGACTACAGTTCCATTCTGTACTACAATTAAAGTTAGGAACAGCTTGAAATGTCATTATTAAAACCAGCATTTTGTCCAGGTTTTCCTAGTTCCTTTGAAGAATTGGAATTATCATCTGAGGAGCCATTACTCCAGAAATTAAGAGAAATAACATAACATTTCACCTGCATTTCATTCTAACTCATTCTAACAAGCTTGATAATTTTCCTTATATTATGAAGATCTGTTCTAGGAATTTAAACAAACATATGTAATCTTTTCCTAAGAATTTTTTATCCCATTTACAATGTCATTACTATCAGTGTTATATAGAAAAGAATAATTATTTGTCAGGAAACTAAACTGAGTTAACAATTTTAGTGGAGTCAAAACATTGCATCTGAACTGTATTTTTCACCTGAACACAAAACCTTGCACTATATTTACCAGTTAAAAATTGCTCTAAATTAGCTCCTTTTTTAAAAAAAAATATTTTTTTATTGATTTCAGACAGGAAGGGAGAAGAAAAGGGAGATAGAAACGTCAACGATGAAAGAGAATCATTGATCTGCTGCCTCCTGCAAGTCCCCTATGGGATTGAGCCCGCAACCTGGGCACCTGCCCTGACTGAGAATCCAACGGAGACCTCCTGATTCATAAGTCAACACTCAATCACTGAGCCATGCTGGCTGAGCCTTTTCTTAAAAACATGATTATCCAATTGTCTGTACTCTTCAGGCACAATTAAACCAGTTGTGCAGGGGACAGTCACAGACACATAATGCTCCAGTGTGCTGGTACTTGCAACCCAGCTCAATGAATTTTACCGCAAGAGACCCGGTCTGATTTATATGCTGGGGCCAAAGTCAAACTGTGCAGTGCTAACACTTTCCATGATTTAAACACCTCACTGGGGATAAAACATGGCAGCTGTTTCCCAACATGCAGCAATCCCCTGGGCAGTTGAGAGCACTTCACCCAGATGAAACTGTAAAGGGAATTTCAGGAGACAGAATGTAATTATCCCCTTTGGAGTTTGGCACGGATCAGAAGATTAAACAGTGTTGTTCTTTGTCCCAAAATAAAGCGTGCCAGCAGATCTATGACAGACACAGCCAGGAACAGAAGGAACGAGCCTGGAGTCTTGTTTGTTTTCAGCGCCCCTTTTTTCACCTCCATAGATCACCAATTCCTGTGTTCTCAGATAACTGGAATAGTCCTCACAGTGGCCCCTCTTAGGTCATGTTACTATCACTTCGAAAGCTTTTTAAAAGAGGCTAGAGCCACTAGACATAAATGCTCCATAATGCCCCTGTGAGCCACTGTCTCTGAACTCAGTTAAAATGAAGAACTACTTAAAAGTAGAGTACAGCCCTCCCACTTTGGTACAGAACCTTCCAGAGGATATAGTAGATAGTAACTACTAGTGCAACTATTCTCAAAATTAGAAATAAGGCAGGTGCAGACTCCAATGGGTGTCTTAAATCTCAATTCCATAAACTTTTAAATTAGCATTTGTAATTCAGGTTGGTGAAAAATTAACTGCTGATTGTGGGTTTTGAAGGTTCACCCCCAGGTACTTTCAGAGAATTAATGAATGCCAACTGCTTGATTTATGCCCAAAGTACCACAAAATCATTAAGGCCAGGACAAAGCAGAAGTTGTCATTGACCGCCCTCCCCCACCCTCAACCTATACTATCCTTCGGTGTTTATTGGACTCTATTCACATTCCCTTGTTCAAGGCATCCTTAACATGACTCACCCTCCCACTTTCTCCTTCCTATTGATTCTTTTAAGAAGGTCACCAGCCTAAATAACTTCATCCCAGAATCAGACACTCACTCCTTCTAACATCTTTTGACATTGGTCCAACTAGCACACTAAAAATACCATATCCAAGGCCCATGGCCCTGACTCAAGGTACAACTTACTGATAAAAGTTAAGAAATAGGATTCTGGAAACCCAGAGCTGAACTCCAACCAAATGCCTATACCATGACTTTCAAATCCACCAGTTTCCAAAAGGAAAAATTTTCCAAGTTTCCCAATATGTTATAGCTGATTGAGTGAAGTTGAAGTCAAACCTAAACTCAGTTCTCTAAGGTGATACACTTACCTTTAGTGTTTGTTCTACATAACACACATTCTCTTGAGGATAGAACTGGGGAATTTCTTTTTCCCAAGAGCCACACTTCATCAAGTAGCCCAGGTCAAATTTTATGACATGCAAACTTGGTACAGAACAAACGTCATCTAGAAGTCAGTACATTTTTTTGCTCATGCAATTTTGTCACCTCTGACACAGATGGTAAGCCAGGACAAGTGGAATAGGGAAACTGAGACAACAGAAAGCTGAACAAACTGACAGAGCAATTTACAGCAGATACAGAAGGTCATCTCCCTAGAAATAACATCTAGACTTCAATTGTGTTTCAGCTCCAGACTCAGAAAAGCAGCAAAATCAGCTGGGCAACACCAGGACCAGCAGCAATGACTAAGGACCCCTTGCCCTAACACTGACCAATCCATCAGTGGAGACCAGGCCCTGGCAGAGCACGCCTAGAAAACTGATGAATGTTCTGCTGAAACTCTCCCTAAGATTTCCACCTGCAAGAGAGAAGTAAAAGCCTCAAGACAAAGGACCCCAAATGTGCTCTCCCACTGGGGAGTGTGTCCTCCGCCCCTGCCATTCCCTTTCTTCTCTTCTTCCCCCACAGACATGCATCTCCTAAATCCTAAAGGTCCAATGCTTGCAACATGGGGAGCAATGGGCAGCGTCAGCTTATCTCAGGCTAGTCCCCTGAAGCTGTTCCCAAGGCCCCCTTTTCTCTGACTTCCTAGAGAGGTAAGGCAGCCCAGCCTCAGCTCCCCTGTCACTTCTTCTCTAGACTAAGCTCTTTCTTGTTTTACTGTCCCCAGCTTTAATAAACATTCCCTCATTGTCACCTGGACTCAGACTGTGACATTTTTCCTGCACGAAGTCAAGAACCCACACACTACTGGCTGGCTCTAGGCTGACCTGCTCAGGGCCAGGTCTCCTTTCCAGTAACACATCCAATGCAAGTGTTTGGGGTCACTTTCCTACAAGAAGAGTAAGTCCCAACTTAGTCCTATGTAAGGTCTCTCTTTCTGTTCTTTTGCTACACCTTTTGATTTGATTTTTTAGCAAAAATCTTGAATTTTTTAATGCAAGAAAACATACAAAAATGAAATGCTCAGATTAAGCAACTGGTATAATATCTTCTATGTGGTTGACATTGAACGCATGAACCAAGAGGTCACCAGTTTGATTCCTGGTCAGAGCACATGCCCACGTTGTGGGCTCAATCCTTGGCAGGGGGCATGCAAGAGGTAGCCGATCAATGTTTCTCTCCTCAATGTTTCTATCTCTCTATCCCTCTTCCTTCCTCTCTCTCTAAAAACAATAAAAACATTTTTTTAAAAGGATACTTGTCTGGTGATGAGAACAATTTTACTGCTTTCCATAAACAGGAAAAAAGCAAGGTACAAAAAGTCTTAAATGACTTGTTAGAGTCACAAAATTAATGTGAAGCAGCTGTATACATGTTCTCTTTTTTCTGTAAGGTCATGATCCGATGGAACTCTTTGGAAAGGCTAAAGGTAGGCCAAACAGGATGACCAGAACATTCCACTCTGATGGAACTAAGATGCCCCCCAGTCCCAGCCCAGACATTTTATGTCGCTCAATTCTTTCCCTGCAGTCTTGTCTCCACTCTCTCATTAGATTCTCTGGGAATCTGTCTCTAGTCAGGTCTGTGCCTTGGAACTTTCTCATTTCCTCATCTTGGGAATGTTCTGTGTGGTGCTTATTTCTCACAGACTTCACAGGATTCTCTCAGAGCATTGAGTTCCCTCACATATGTATTAGGCTGAAAGAACTGTTTAGCAAAACTCCTCTGGTTTATGGACTATGGAAAGCCCTCTGTGAAATCAGCCTGTCGAATGGGACTCCTACTTCCTGCTCTGGCCAAAACCAAATTCCCTTCCTATTGGCAGCTGTTGAAGAACTGGTGTTTTTTCACCCAAAGTTCACAATGGGTTAAGTTTCTTTTTCACACCTGTTCAAAATGTTTGCCTGATCGCTGAGGAG